AATCCATTGAGAGACAAAGGGATACCCCTGTAGAAGAGAGTGAGAAGGAAAAATCATGAAGAACAGTAGTGCAGAAGTCCAGGGAGAGAGTATTACAAAAAGAGTGAGAGGATGCATTCTATTTGGAGGATGCAGTAAGATAAAGACTGGGAAACCATGATTAGATTTGGAAATAAGATGGTACTTGGTGGCCTTGCTGAGAGCAGGGAGTAAATAGAATCAAATTAGGGAAGTGGATCATGAGTAGGGGATGAGAAAGTAGTAGAGTCCACACCTGTAGACAACCCCATCCAGAAGAGAAGGGGAGGGAGAGAATTGAGAGTAGAGTCCAGCAAGGGTTGTTTTACTCCTTTTTTTTTGTTTTAAAAGGTAGGAGAGAATGCAGCATATTTAAATACTGAAAGGAACCAGTAGGGAAGAAGAGGGTAAACCACAGATAGGGAGATGGTTGATAGATGAGGTTCCCAAGGAAAAGGAAAGGGATGTGACTCAGAGCAAAGGTGAAATGATTTGCTGTGGGCAAGAGGAGGAGGGACCCTTAAAAACTGATTCCATTTTAATATGATTGATTATTGAACATACTAGCAAAGTCATAAGTTTACAAAGATAAACATTAAAAATAGGTTAAAAAAAAATATCGTGTGGTATATTGGTGTCGCCATGAACATCTCTATTTTTGACTTCTGGGTTCGTGATCCTGGTTTAGTTATCCTTATTTCCTTCTTCCTTTTGCCTGACTATTTTCTAGTATATTTCTTTACCTTTGCCAAATTATTTCAAGTCAAGTTATTTTGGCTTCCTCAGCAGGGCCACCTTAACCTTTACTTAACTCTTGAGTTTAAGCTTGGCCTTCCATGCTATATACCTTTTATAGCTACTTACCTACTCTGAAAGGAAACTTACATCTTTGACATATGTGTGTGTGTGTGTCTATTTTTTTGGTTCATAGTCTAAAATATTGGGCACAAGTTCTGGGGAAAGTACTGTAGGAAGAGAGTAGGGAGATCCAGTGTTCTTAAATAAATAAATAAATACTGTGAAATCTGAGCATTTTCTGGGAAGAATAAAATAAAGACTTTCTTTTTACATGAGTTAAAGGTGCTAAGATTATGTGAGATTGGGGATGGGCAGTTATGTTGTGGTTAATGATAGTTTACAGAGTTTACAATCAGTGTTCTCAACATAAAAACATAATGAAGAAATAAATTCTCATTAAGTTTACTTGTAATGTATTCTTTACATAGTCAGTTGCTGGGTTATGAATGTTCAGCTTATATACAATGCATACTTATGAACCCACTCCCGTAAAGCCTATTACATTAAAAATACAAGGTACATACAGTGGTTCATAATAATAATCAGGTACTATGTTGTGATGAGAATCAAAACATAATATTACTGTATTATTATGTTAAAGATGTTTTAGTGTATGTTTAAGTGTTTTTTTAAATGTGTTTTTTATGAATAGAAAGGTATACTGTGTATTATATACTAAGACAAACATTTGACTAACTGACATTAGATATGAACCATACCTTTTTTGACTTAAATACAATTTTGACATAAAGACAGACTTAGAATGGAACTTGTTAGTAATACAGTGACTGCCTTTATTTATATAATTTTTGGGGGGCTTATAAATGAATCAGGGAGCTCTGGTAGCATAGTGCCTAAGGCACTTGACTGATAACCAGAAGTCTGGTGGTTCAAACCTACCAGCCACTCCTTGGAAAGAAGGTTAGGCAATCTACTTCTGTAGTGATACTGCCTTGGAAACCCAAGCAGGGGTCGCTGTGAGTTGGGCCCAACTCGATGGCACATAACAACAACAACATAAATGAATCAAGGAGCCCTGGTGGCGCAGTAGTTAATTGCTTGACTGCTAAGCTAAAGGTGGGTGGTTTGAACCCACTAGCCCACTCTGCTGCAGAAAGATGTGCTTCTGTAAAGATTTACAGCCTTGGAAACTTAATGGGCAGTCCTACTCTGTCCTATAGGATCACTATGAGTCAGAATTCACTCAATAATAATGAGTTTTTGTTGTTGTTTTAGAAATGAATTACATTTTTAATTTATTTTTTTCTCCCATCTTTAATGTTTTCAGAGCTTTTCTTTCTTTCTTTTCTTCTTTCAATATTGTTTGCCTTAGCTGTAGCTGATTAGTAAACTCAACTGTAGATGTAGTAAGGAACTTGAATTTTGTGTGGAGAAGGAGATTCAGCTAACAATTTAATTCCCTAAATATGGAGAGCATGGTTTTTGTTGCATTAGTGTATGTCTTTGAGAGACCCATTTCATATGAGCATGTGAGTTGGGTTATAGACATTTATCTGCTCTTTCTGGCAGAAGATAAGGGCTTTAAGGACGCTTTAGTTATCACAGAGCCTGGCATCCCTCAAAGTTATCACAGCATCCTTGAGAAGAAATGAGTTCCCTTAGTAGGAATATCAGGAGCTCTGGTAGCATAGTGCCTAAGGCACTTGACTGCTAACCAGAAGGCTGGTGGTTCAAACCCACCAGCCACTCCTTGGAAGGAAGATGAGGCAATCTACTTCCGTAGTGATACCGCCTCGGAAACCCAAGGAGGGGTCACTATGAGTCGGGTCTGACTCGACAGCACATAACAGTAGGAATATCAGCAGGACAGAGTGTCATGGCCTCCATGTGCTGGGTCCCTGAGTGTGGCAGGCCCATGGCAAACACTCCTGGCTATTCTTGTGTAGGGCGGCTTGGGGCATTTGGCTTCTTGGAAATGAAGAGGGCTGAACCCTTGCATCATCATCACTGAACACAGTCATAGGGATGTGTGGTCTCAGGCTGCCTCCAAACCTTGCTCCATCTGGAGTGAGGAGAGCGCAACTTCCCTCTGGAGCACTCTCCTCAGAAGCAAATTTTCTGGCAGGAAGACGCTTTCCAGTTAACCGGTTTTCAAACATGGTTTTCTGGACATTTCTATTTCTCTCTGAAGCTTGCCTCTACCCTCATAAATCTCGGCTGTATCCAGTTTAGTTATGAACAGATGCCAGGTGAGGTTGCTGTTGTTGATATGTGCCTTCAAATTGGACCTGACTCATAGGAACCCCTCCTTGGGTTTCCGAGGTGGTATCACTATGGAAGTAGATTGCCCAACCTTCCTTC